GTTGGAGGTTGCTGTGAGCAGTGAAGCCACAGCACTCTACCCAGGGGCTCAGCTTGAGGCTCTGTCTCAAAAAAAGAGAAAAAATGACTCGGTGAATAATTTGCTCTTAAAAATTAAACAGAACTTGGGCAGCTGCCATTTATTAAGGGCCAAGGATCCTTGGAGTTACAGCCATTCCCGGCTACTCCGCCCCCTGAGGCGCTAGAGCGGCAGCTTTATCAAACTTGACACTTTTCCTTCCTTTTTCACCTTTTCCGGAGCACAGTCCACCAGTCACCCACAGGCCGGAGGGAGCAGGAACCCCACATCCCGGCCGGGGCCCAAGCCTCGGCGCCGCGGAAGCCTTGGGGCCCGCAGCCGGCGCCCGCTTCGCGGCTGGGCGCGACGGGGGGCGGGGCCTCAGGACTCCGCCCCTCCCTCCGTTTTCTTGACCCTCCCGTCTACCGCCCGCTTAGGGAAGCCGGGCTGGGAGCGAGAACAGGGAGCGGAACCGCGAGCCGCCGCCGCCATGGGGAGCCGTGTTTCGCGGGAGGACTTCGAGTGGGTCTACACCGACCAGCCCCACGCAGATCGGCGCCGGGAAATCCTGGGTGAGCTGCGGCCGGCGCCCCGTTATGTGCGTGCGCGGCCACCGTCCGCCGCGCGCGCTCTCCCCGCGGTGGGCCCTGCGCTGCCGGAGGCTCCGGACGCCCTTTACGGGCGGCTCCACGCCGCGTCCCGCCGTCCGCCGGCTGGTCTGAGCGGCAGAGGCTGCGGCGAGACGCGGGGAGGACGCTCCGGGGCACCAAGGCCCGCGGCGGAGGAGGGGACGGCGCTCGCGCATCCGTGCGGCGCGCGGCTTCGACTCTTCCGCGAAGAGGCGCTGGCGCGGCCCCCAAGGATCCCGCCGGCTGGGTCATCCTCGGGTAGATCCTCCCACTAGGAGATTCCTGTGCTATCCTGCGGGCGCCTTTTCCTCCTCCTCCTCTGTCCCCGTCCCGGAGCCGGCTGGGACAAGGGAGTGACCTGAGTCGGGGGAAGGCAGGCGCCGGCTTATGAGAGGCAGGGCGTGGCCCTGCGGCATCCCGGGGCCTTGAGGCGAGCTATGCTCCCTTGTCCAACGCCGGCCCGCAGCGCTGCCCGGCGCGGCTGTGGTCTTGGCCCTAGGCCGGGGGAGGGGGGATGGTACCTGACCGCGTGACCTGGGCTTCTCGGATGGAACCGTCCTGGTGCTTCAAGCCTCTTGTGCTTCTCATCCCATTGCTCCTCGCAAGCCTGGGGCGCAAGAACGGCAGATGCATAAATATTTTTTATTCATCCATTTTGTGGATGAAAAGACAGAAATATGGAAAACTTGCTAAATAGCGAAAATAACGCGGTTTAGCCTGCTGGACCCCTGACTGCTAATATAGGGCCCTTTACGCCAAATCAACTAGGCCTTAAATCTTGAGTACTTGAGGTTTCTATATTGTATGGAGAATTCTCTCACCTCTATCAGGTTGCTCTTTTTTGGTTTGTTTTTGAGACAGTCTCACTATGTCGCCCTCGGTAGTGCTGTGGCATCACAGCTCACAACAACCTCAAACTCTTGGGCTCAAGCGATTCTCCTGCCTCAGCCTCCTGGTAGGTAGCTGGGGCTACAGGAGCCCACCACAACGCCCAGCTATTTTTTTTTATATCTTTTTTTTTTTTTTTTTGAGACAGAGCCTCAAGCTGTCCCCCTGGGTAG